AAAGTCTTTGTAAATAGGAAAGAGGTGAAGGGGTGCAGAGAGGGGGTGAAGGGTGACTAGGGGAATGGGGAAAAATAAGAACCACAATAGGTCGTGTAAAGGTACAAGATCCCAGTGATGAATGTAACTGTACTGTGTACCTAAAATGTACAAATAAAAATATATTAAAAACATTAAAAAAGAAACTAATGTTAAGTCAAATAAATCAGACACAGGATTAAATATCACATGGTTTTATTAATTATTAATTCCTATATGAAAAATATAAATTATAAATAAAAAGCAAAATAAAAGATAATAGGATGCAGGGAGATAAATCTCTCAAATGGGAAGGGGATCAACAGATGGAGGGAGAGAAGGGAGCAAAAGGGGATGCAAAAAGGAATTGAAATGTTTTCTGTGCATGTACCAGCTCCACACAAGGAATGGAAACATTATGTACTGCAAACATGTACTAAAAAATAGAATAAGTTGGGCATTTAAAAGAAACAGTCTTAACAGTGAGAGGTCCCAGTAATTGGTCTGATTTAATACTTTAATATGTTGTCCTTTAGGGGTGAGGAAACTGTTTCTGTAAAAGATATGATAGTAAACATTTTTTGTTTTGTCCACTGTTTGGTCTGTGGAGTTTGGTTCGGGAGCTCGGACTGGGAGGGTAAGGCTTAGAATCAGCAGGCAGACTCTAGGGAGGTTTCTGGAATGCTTCTGATTTATTTAGGAAATGCAGGCTTATATATGCTTAGAATCAGCAGGCAGACTCTAGGGAGGTTTCTGGAATGCTTCTGATTTATTTAGGAAATGCACAGGCTTATATAGCTTACGTGTGGACAACCATGGGGGAGGAGCATTTAATTACATGGCCCTTTCTTAAAGGTTATGCAGTAGTAGAGAAAATTGGATGATATATTATTGGCTAGACATATAATGGGGTGATTTTTCTTGGGCGAGGAGAATGAGTCACGGACTAGGGACTGAGGTACAGCCTGTTAGACCCAGACTCTACGCACTTAAGAGTTAGCTCAGCCTCAGAGAGGTATTAGAGTTTGCTCAAAAGATAGGAGTGCAGTGCACCTGGCCCAGCCAGACTTGAACTTCTCCCACAGTTTTGTGGGCCATACATCCCATAGAATATTAAGCAACCATAGGTAATATGTGAACAAATATGTGTAATTATATTTCAATAAAATTTCATTTATGAAAAGAAGCAGTAGGCTAGACTTGGCCCACAGATGATATTTTGTTGACTCCTCCCATTGTAGATGGATTAATAATATACCATGTTGGAGTATGGTCTGCGGTGTTACATTTACATAATGGTTTTGAGGTCTGCTTCTGTTATTTGCTAGCTCTGTGTACATGAACAATTTCCTCAACTACCCTACACCTCAATTTTGTCAACTGCATAAGGATAATAATAATAACAAATATCTGAGAGGATTGCTGTAAGAATTAAAGAAAAAATGCATATAAATCAAAAGACAATGCCTAACATATATTTCATGGTAAATAAGTAGTAGCTGCTTTATAATAATAATTATTAGTAAGCAAATCTGTCAGGGGAAACTATAGGAACACCTTGGAAGAGGGCTGAGATGAAATAACCATAAGTTTCAGGGCAGTTTAAAGGGTATCCTTTAATTAAAATATATTCCAATTGCATTTTTAGTATAACAGATTTTATTCCATTAATTGTAACTCAGAAAAACAATTGGGGTCTTCAGGGAAGGGCCTTCAATGACTCATTTTTCAAGAAACTGAAGAATCCAGAAAAGGTCAAAAAGGTACTAAATATCAATTTTTTAAATCATTAGTAGTAATTAAAGAGAAAATTTTAGCTTATTTTGTGCCCACATTTGGCATTTGGTTACTTGGTAATAATTGTCCTCCACTAAGGACTGAGTAGAGCTGCAGAAAGTTTGGAAAAAGCACACTGGAGTGATTAATAGTCTTGATGGGCAAACACATGAAGTCCAACTAAAAAGATGAAACTGTTCAGCCTGGGGAACCCTTTTGGAAATAATGTGTAGTACACTGGTAAAAGCATGGCCTCTTCTGTGAGTGAGACCTGGATATGAGTACTGGCTCAGTGGCCAATTAATTTGTGATCTTGGACAAGTCATTTAAGGTTTATGGATTTAAATGTTTGCAAATGTGAAATAGGAATAATAATAGTGCCCTCCTCACGGGGGTAGTTTGAGGATTATGCACATAATTCACCAGCCTCATTCTTTGAGCATAGTAAGCACTCACTGATTTATATTAATATCCAAACCTTCTAAAATCATGTATGAGTTGATCAATATATCAGTCAGCTCTGTCACGGTGACAAAGTATCAAGATAATCAACTTGAAAAGAAGTAAGATTTACTTTGGGTCTAGTTTCAGAGGTTTCAGTCTATAGTTGCCTGGCTTTGTTGTCTTTTGGCCTATGGTAGAACAAGCACATGATAGCAGGAACATGTGGCAAGGGATACTGTTTACCTTGTGGCATTCAGAGGAGAAGTGAAAGAAATAGAGTAAGGGGCTGAAATCTCAATATCTCTTTCAAGGGCTTGCCCCCAGTGACCTAATTTTCTCCCACTGGGCCTTATGTCCTGAAAGCTCCACCATCTCCCAGTAGTGCTATATGCTAATGTCCAGGCCATTAAAATGTGGGACTTAGAGGGATACTGATCCAAATCAGGGCAATAATCATCAACACAAACCCTTTCATATACTGAAACAATTAACTTGGGAAGGAAATGCCTTTACATTATGTATAGATGAAAATCCATGTAAGGGGATGAGTTATTTAAATGGCAAATTGTGAATCTATAGGGTCCATTGTTTTGTTTGATGTTACAGTCTGAAAGCAAATCAATTTCATAAAAGACTCATGAATGATAGAATTGTCATGGAACTAAGGGAAACATGATATTTGACTCATGGCTAAAATAAAAGAGAACAGTGCTATCTTCCCATAAACTTTCCTTGGAATGATATTGTTGGAAGGAATATTTCTGGAGGGTAAGAGAATGAGGTCAGTTCTCAAGTGAAAATGGCTAACAAAATGCTGTCTGGACAAATTTAAATTTTATTTTAACTTTGATTTTTTTTCCAGGATGATAGCAGTTAACAAACTTCAGAAGACTTTAAAGTTGTTTTTGTCTCCTGGCATTGTATAGTTATTGTAAATGTTATTGTTCAAAAAGACTCAACAGCTTTGAATGGTTATGGAAATATGAGGGTTTTTGTTAGAAATATTTGTTAGACTCCTGACTCAACAAAGAAGAGCCTACTCAATCATATATGCATATGGAATGTATCTAAATAAGTCAAAGATTTTTCTCCAGTTTATTAGAAACACAAATGAAATTTCAAATTTCTAGAAGGCAATGACTTTTCTATGCCTCCTTTATAGAATATGAATTTCAACCACTGGCTATGTGAATAGAAGTTATTAGAATGGCTATAGGAGCTATAACTGAGTGTGTCAGGATAATCAGGAAGGTGTGGCTTAAATAATTTCTTGTTTTATTCTCAGGAAAATCAAGGTTCTGGCAGTCAAATGATATGCTTTCAAATTCTAGTTCTGCAACTTACTAACTGTATGATGGAGGCAGATATGTTAACTTCTCTGAACCTTCAGTTCTTCATCTTTAAATTAAAATGTTAAAACCTACCTCATAAATGTGCAGTGAGCATTAAATGCTAGAAATGGAAATTGCATCTTTGAGTAACATGAAACTTAAATAATTACCACTAACAAATTAAAGTACTCAGTACAGTGCCTGGTATAAATTAGGCACTCCCCATTATTAGCTCCAAAGGGATAAATCTTCTATGCACAGGGAAAATAGAATATTTATCTACTCCTCCACTGTGCTACTATGAAGCAAAGTTGGTAAATATAATCATAAGTGGTTTATCACTGAGATGCATGGATAAGAAAACCAGAGCCATGTAGGCTAAGTACTAAAATCAATAAATAGGAAGCAAGTTTAAACAGACCCAAGAATCAAAGCCACTACCAAGAAGTAATACCAATAATGAAGTGCATGAATGTTCAAATGTATAGCCATGATTGATAACTGGCCAATAAATCTGGCCTGGTCAATAAGACACATTTACCAAAAAAGAGTCTGACTGACTCTACTAACTATTATAACTAATTTATGTACATTTGTTATTAAAATGTGGTCAGTGACTTCTGGTCCATGATAATGTAAAAGATCCATAACATTATATTATCTGGAAAGTATTTCCATTCTGTTGGTGAAGTGAGATTTGATATTTCATAGGTAGGAAATGAAACAGGCCACCAAAGAAAAGGGTATTGCAGATGTGATACAAGCTTCTACAGTCTTCCAATGATGTATGGTATTTGATTTTGGCAAGATGCTAGTAAAAATTCTTTATATCCTAAATCCAGTGTTTTGCTTCAGTGAAATGTGCGATTAGGTAAGATGATCTAGGTGGAAGTGCCATTTCAGAATTCAGTAAAGCATGATATTACTGTATCATCATGGCTAGAAGTGAGAGCAGCGACAGCATGGATGTCATGCATTGTCATCTGGACAAAATGGAGGTGGTAAGAGTAAGACCAGTCACCTACTTCTCCCTCTCTAAGAGTGCTTTTCAGTGGCTTATGTTTGCAGTTATATGTCACACGTGATAGTAAGTTCTGACATGCTGAACTATGTAATATGGTAAAAGCTTTCTTGAGGGGAGGCAAGTGTAGCAAATGAACACATTAGGTATTTAGCAATTTTATTACAGCTATAGAAAAATGAGAGAAATAAAGAGGTAGGCTGGCTGATGTTGAGGCAAGTTTCCTCAAGAGGCCAATCTTCAGTGTATTCACTATGATTCACAATGTGGTGCTGAATCTGCAGATAATAATTTTATTTTTAGCATGCTGAAATGTGGTTAGGATACAAAGGATTAGTGCTATTATAATAAAAAAAACTGACATGTAAGCCAAACACCATTTTATTCACTTATTATGAGAAATGCTTGCCAAATAGGTGAGAACAGTTACATCAGCTGATTAGCGAATATTCTTCCCATAATAAAGTTTATATAAGAAAGCAATTACAATAAGATTACTTGGAGAGCACAGAGTCATAACAAAGAGAGATATGTATCAACCTTATTGATTAATGACACAAATTGGGTTGATCTTATGCCTTAAGCCCATTGCAAGAGTAGAGTGCCAATGGCTTGTTGGTCTGCATCCCAATTCTGAGGATAGGGAGACCACTAATGCCTATGTTTCTTTCTTTCTCCCCTTTTCCAGATTTGATGCAGACCATTTTTGTTATTTTTCAGATTTATCACAAATGATTAGCTCCTACCTTGCCAGGGGCATCAGTTATGTAGCAGATTTACTTCTCTAAAACTATATTTTTGATTGGAACTACGAGGCTCCCTAAGCCTTTGCAGTCACAGACTACATTTTTAATAGGTTAAATCTCACTTAAGCCTTGTGAGTTCTCATTAGTTTCGCTCTCAGCAAAATTTATGTATCTATAAGTTCTGAGGACACTCCTTTGCAACCCCTCATCATAAGAAATGAATTATTCTAGTTAAAGGTGATAGTCGATAGTGCCACTATGACAAAATTTTGAAGTGGTAAATGGCTGCTAGGTAGTAATAAATAAAGCACTTTCACAGATTCCAATTAATATGCTCAGCCTGGCTATAGGATTGAATTACATAGTATACAAGAGGCCCTTGAAGGAAGTACCTCAGAAAGGGACCTAAAGAAGTGGGAAGTGACTGAAGTTCACAGACCTAGACAAATAATCATTTCTAAGAGACTATGTAGTCAGAAGATTTTTTTTAGGAAGAAGATAATGTTGCTGCAAATGGAATGTACATACAGAAATAAGGTGCTACATTTTTATGAGAGAGCTTGCAATGATAAATTATGGTCCTAAAATAAGGAAAGATTGGTGATCAAGTCACCTGTATGATCCTATTGGCATTCTAGGAACATACTGGAATCAGTGAAGAAAGTGATTGGAGACCATTGATTTAGCTGTTTAGTTTAAAAAAAAAAACAATTAGTGGAAATAGATAAGGATACCACCAGGTAATCCTATTTGCTCAAAGTTCAAACAGATCTACCTGTTGGAGGAGCTCAGAAAATCCTGGTACTACAGTAGAGATTTCTCAGCATAACTAGAATATGTGCACTGAGGTCTCCTTATTGTGGGAATTTATGGAGTAATGTGGGTGTATAGCAAGGTATTGATAAAGGAAATCCTGTGCATGCGAGTAAAGGTTGGCATAGTAGTTAATGATACACTGATGGGTGAAAAGATGTGTTTGTGCTACAGGAGGAGAGTAGTAATAGCTAGCTGTATTCAAATGTTGAGCAGTTAGAACAGTTTTCCTGGAAAAATGCCAAAGTACAATGGTACTCTGTGTTCTGAAAGGCTTTATGACTGCGAAGGAATACGAAATTATTAATTTTCAAGCAATCCATGATGGGGATATATATCAGCATGAAGTAGCAGGGACCAGAGGACTGGTAATTACCAGCAACTGCTGATCCTCTCTGGATACCCTTAGCACTTTAGGGAGCTATGCCTAGAAGCATCACCTTTTATATACAGAGCTGATATGGGTCAAAAGTACAATACAAGCAATCAAATTCCCCTACTTCTTGAATTTTATACACAGATGGTGATCATGTATGTGCCGCAAGTTTTCCCAGATGAGCTGGTTCAGAAAGTTGTCTGCAACTCTGCTTTTCAAGATTCTCAGTTAGATGAGGGACCCCAGAGGTGTGGTATATAAGGTTAGAGCTCAAAAGCAATGGAAAATGATCCCAGATAGTGACCAAGTTGAGTCCCCTACAGTAGAGATATGTTTGACCATATTCCCTGTTCAAGGATGCAAAAATATGATGCAAACCATAATTATGATAATTATGATAGGGCATCTTCTTCAACTCTCACTAAATATCTTTCAGAGGTCATTATTTTAAACCATTTTGACATAGCCATAAAATATTCTGAAATCATAAATAAGATCATTACTAAAGATGGGAAATTACTGCGATTGGTAAGATATAGCTAACAGTATATGCTGGTCAGAAGAGTCCAACAGTTCCAAGTAGTGTTCAAATGGTCATACAATCTGGTTTTTCAATAGTCAGGAGCTGCAGTTTGTTAGGCAAGAAATCTTTAGATTACAAAAAAGTATATAGCTGTGTAGATGGATGGCAAAGCTGTAGTTCCAGGAAGATTGGTTTGTGGTGAAACTAAACTCAGTCAATAAATGGAGCAGTATCTAGTCTTTAGAAGGATAATATTAGCAGGATATGGTAATGCAACTAGTACTTCAGGCAAAAGACCTAAGCCAAGATGAAACTAAGATACAGATCAATGAGGGAGCACATGAAAGTGTTGGGTTAATTCCTAGGCTCACACAATACAGCATTTAGCCCAATAAATTCAACTGAAACTCATCCATTGCTGAGGGTAGGATTCCCAATGTACTTTCAAGCCTATTTTTATTGGCTTAGACTGGGGAGAGTTTTGCCTGCAAACTTTCAATAATCTTGGAGGAATTGGTCCCAACTATAGAAGTAACTGATTTTTTTCATCATTATTAGTTCATCAGTGAATAGTCAGCTCCCAATGAACGAGATCTAGTTGTTTAAATTCCCCAAAGCACAGGAGTTCATAGTTGCATGTAAAGTGGTGTCACAGTTCTCCATTTGTATTTTAGAGTTAGTGCAGGATACAAATCAGTAAGGCTGGGGATGAGAGGGATATAAATTTACAAAGTGACCTTCTAGGCTCTTCTTACTGGTGAGCTGTGTCATTTGTCCTTTCTGGGGCTCGAGAACGTTTGGCAAGGCAATCTCTTGTGAAGTGACCAGCCTGGCTGCAGTAGAGGCACAACTGAGTTTCCTGTTGGTGAGCTCTTTTAGCTGGAGTGAGAGGTAACTGGCCTCCCCGGAGTTGTATAGGCTCTTGCTTGGATGGTGAACCTATGGAGCTGGAGAGGGATTGGTGGTGGATCAGGGAAGCCAATAATGGGGGCTGAGTTTCTGATTGTAAGAGCTCTGGCCTGTCATTATATTTCTTGTCCAACTGAATGCACTGAATTATCAGATCTGGGGGATTTCTCATCATACCTGTGACATTTCCTTCATCCTGGATGGGGTCAGACAATCTCTCTTGGAATTTTTCTCCTTGATTTGTTTTATTACTGCTCAGATTTTGAGAAAAGAACTGGAAAGTAGTAACATCTTGCTGAGAGGTGCTGTCCCCTCTGTCAACCTTAGCATCCATCAGATGGTTCATTTTTTGTTTTATAGCTTCACCAAATGACGGCTGGAAATCAAGAACAAAGTTTTCATTTTGCTTCAGTGGAATACTCTGGTCATATTCAGATACTATTCCAAAAAATTTCTTCTGCTGAGACAGGTAGTCAGAAAAGAACTTGACCTGGGCATCAGCTGCAGGATTGGGAATCTTGAACGCTGGAAAGTAGGTAGTCACTTGAACAAAAAATCCTGAATGATTAACAGGGTCACCATGAAACTGGGTGAAATGCTTAACTGATCAGGGTACAGATATCACTGGGGTGGTCAGAGCAGGCATGATGTTACTTCTCAGAGCAGTTTCCCTCAGACAGATACTTTCTTTGTGGCTGTGGAATCAGATTCTCCTTTTGAAAAAAAGAAGGGTCTATCAGCAAGGTTTGTGGTGATTCTGTGCACTTCTTCATTATATCTCCTGGAATCTGGTGAGACTCAGTACAACTCAATACTAGTATTGGAAATCAATGGAAAGACTCTGGCTTTGTTTTGTGACCAGAAAAGCAGTGGCATGAGCAAGTAGCCCAAACAGTTATGAAAAGTCACTGGTGGTTGCTGAGAGCCGATTGGAGAGATGCTTGAAAATGCCTGCTACTCAGTGTTTGTTGCCTCTTCTTCAAGGAGAATGCCAATGTTCTGCATATTCAGAAGAAAGATGTTACCTTAGGACACAGAATATTTGGAATTAAAGAGGTATATAAAAGTCACAGTACTTTTCTGTCCACCCTTCCTTTTTCTGTAATATAGGACAATTTGCTCTCATATTAAATCATGATTCTAAAGTTTTTCATTAGAAAGTCAAATAATTTTACAATCCAAACTCATCTTAGAGATCACCTAGGACAAGTTCGTAATTTCAGAAATGAGGAAAGAGACCCAAAGAAGCAAACATATTTGCCTAAGGTCACCCAGTCAGTTAACATCAGAGGTGGCAGGCTCATGGGGGCTGCTGTCCTAAACAGCTCTTTCTCCTAGACTGCAAATGAGCTCATTTGCATGTAATTCCTAAATATGTCCAGAGTTCATGCTTCTGTGTATTCAAAATGTAACCTTCGAAGAAGCAGCATCTACATCACCTTGGAGGTTGTTAGAAATGCAGAATCTCATGTCCCATCCAAAACCTACTGAATCAGTATTCATACTTTAACAAGATTCCCAAGGTAATTAGAATGTGCATTTAAGTTTGAAAAGTGCTGATGTAGAGAGCATTTAATCTGAATTGGAATAATCATACCCTTCTTTGCTCAAACCTAGCCTGCAATGGTGTAGAAATCTGCTTGTTGTGATGCTAGTTAATCCACTTTTTTTCTGGCTACTCAGTCCTTGTCTGAGGTCATTTAGTTGCCATGGAAATAATCAAAATATCAGAGGCAAGATGAAGAGGTAACACTGAGAACCTAGCAAACAAGAACTGAATATTCTTAAAACTACAAAGATCAAAATGTTCAGCAGGTCTCCTTGTATTGAGAACAAGAATAAGGCCACCAGCAAAAGATAAAAGATTTACCAAATACATGGCATATCAATCAGTTAAATTTTTCTGTATATTTCACTGACTTAACTTTTATAGCATACTATTTAATTATATTTATATTATTCAGCAGTGGGCAAAAGAAGTATATTATTGAATTTTTAAAAATATAAGACTTGTTTCTTTAGATTTTATTTAATGTTTCCTACTTTCCAGATCTTTAGAAAAATATTCGAAGACTAAAAAAAATGGAAAATTGGTGCCTAGAAACTGTGATCCATACAATAATTAATCAAATTCCCTTGGAGAACTCATTTAGGTCTCAGTTCACTTTGTGTATGTGTGCATGTGTGTTGGGGGGTTGATTCAAGGTCTTCTTCTGCAGTTCAGGCTACCTTGAACTCACTATGTAGTCCAGGCTGGCCTTGAACTCACAATGATCCTCTTGTCTCAGCCTCCCAACTGCTGTGATTATAGATGTGTGCCAGCACACCTAGCTTTTCAGTCTCCTTTCCTATCTAGAAAGGCTAACTCTCTTGCCTATGCCAAAATATTGTTGTATCAATATGGCAATAGATAGGTTATTTGTGTGTCAAAACAATGAGAGGTTTGCTTCCAAAATTGCTCCAAATGTAGCTGAGGAATGCCCACAGTGACTCTGTCCTCATCACATATTGGCAAAGCAGGAAGATACAGTCATACCCCTCTTCCTTCCTTCCTACCTTCCTTCCTTCCGTCCTTCCTTCCTTCCTTCCTTCCTTCCTTTTCATATATCACCCTTCTAGTCACCTGAGCTACCTTTCAGATATTTGTCACTTCCCAGGTGCCCATTGCTGATTTCTTCCCTGCCCATTCAGCAGTAATCAGATAGTATGATATTCGCTTATAGGCATTAATAATTGACTTTTCTCAGTACATTTACCTTTTAATTCAAACTTTAATGTGCATAAGAATCAACTCAGTCCCAAATCCTATCAAGTCTGACACTAGGTATAGGGTGAATCCCAGAAACCTGTACTTCAGCCTGCTGGTCACTTGATTTTAAATGTAGATGATTCCTGTGGAAAAAGCTGTATCTCAAAGAATCAAGCCTCATTAGTAGTAACACAGAGACTCAGAAGTGAGGAAGGGATACGTTTAAAAGTAGGAGATTGGTCTTCAAGTGACACAGAATAAGTGGTACCCAATTTATTTTGTCTGAAGCCCACAGAGGGCCAACACTGTCCTTCACAACTGCTCATCACTCCCAGGCAGTGGAATGCAAGAGTAATCATTAGGTTCTCCGGTCAAACTGACTGGGTCCACATACTTGTTTGAATAAAAGCTGTACCACACTGGGCAAATTATTTCATGTCTTTAATAATCAGCTTCAAAATTTCAAAATGGAAATGCTTATAATACCTATCTCATAGTGTTTGTGAAGATCAAATGAAGAGATCAGCACAGCTTTATGCAGATGGCAAGCGCTCCATAAATGTTACTTATCATTATTCTAGGTCTATCATCTGTTATCCGTGTTTTAGAATTTCAAAATTCATATTTTTTTTTTAGATTTTAGAAAGGTTGAACACGTAGCACCACTGTTTATTATATAACACTTTCAGAAGTGTTTGGGGAAACATTCCATAATTAAGCCATTAACATTTCTGAAAAGAATCTGAATATTCATACTAAAAGGGATAAACACTAAATTCATGTCAAGTCAGGTCAGGGATGGCTGCCAAATAAGATTTGGCACCAAATTAATAAAAAACAACTGCCATTTTTATAGAGCTTTTTTATTTCAGAATCAAAATAAGGAATTGTAGACATCTAGCAAGTTATTCTTTTGATTGAAATGGTGTGATTTCACTATTCTGTCCCTTCCTTCTGCCCTTTCCTTCTATCCCCAGAAGTTCCAGATCTGTTTTAAGGTCTCCTATTTCTTTCAGTAATTATGTATTCAAGGTGGTATGACATTTAATTTTCCTAATTATGTAGCACTGGTGAAACATTTGCTAAAATTATAAGCATTAGTCCAAATGCAAATCATACATTGGCCTTGTTGTCAATGGCAGCTACTTAATCCATCAAAGAAAATCTACCTTGCCTTGTCATTTTGGGAATTGCTCTCCTTTTAGAGGTCAGTGACTTTCTACTGGATTGTCCTCAGAGGATGTTGGAGCCGAGCCTACCAGTCTGGAGGATCTCACCTTGAAGAGATGAAGAAGAGACAGAACTGGGATACCAAATGCACAGGCTTGGAGGATTATACTGGTGAGGTTGGACCACATCTGACACAAAACTGCAAATATTTAACTGTTTAGTTATAGATATTTGTTTCGATGACAATAACAACAAATTGGTTGAGTGAAGTATTTCATGCTACTTTGGTGTTTGTCTTCAGTTTGGCTCAAGATAATCTTTAAAAGTTTCCCTGGACACAAAATTCCATTTGGAGTTCTCTGAGATTGTATTCGTGAGGTTCTTGCTACCATTTGTACCTGGAATTACCCTCAAAAGCTCATGTATTAAAGACACAGTCTTCAGCTTAGCATATTGGTAGAAACTTTTAATTAGTGGGGCCTAGTTGGAGGTCTTAGGTCATAAAAAATGAACATTCAAAGGGGATATTAGGACCCCAGCCTTTCCTCTCTTGATTTGCTTCTCAGGCTTCATGAGCTGAACAGCTTTTTACCTACTATAATCTACTGCCTCACCAAAGGCCCAAAAGCAACAGGGCCAAATAATCATGGACTGAATCTTTCAAAACTGTGAACAAAATAAACCTTTCTTCTTTCAAGTTGATAATCTCGGGTATTTGTTACAGTATCAGAAAGCTGACTAATGCAAGCCTGCAGTACCCTGTTGCTTATAAGAGAAATTTGTGACCTCACACTGCCTAATTTAAAAAAAATATTTTTTTTACTTTTAAAAGTTCAGATGTCAAGCTATTATTTATAACTCATAGGAAGAGGAGACTTGAGTTGGAACTGTGACCAGTTATGCATTCCACGCTTCATCTTCAAACCTTCTAAGTAGAACTGTGATCCCAGTATCTAAATTGAGGCATAAATAGCCCTCTAAAGTGTCTAGAAGGGCACAGTATTTGAACTTGTCAGACAGCTGAATGTGACTATCTATGCCATCATCCTTAGTGGCAATCTTGGAAAAGTCACTCTCTCTCTAGGCCTCATTTTTTTTTTATCTCTACAGTGAAAGTATTTGGCTTCTCAAATTTTATTTAACACATCAGAAATTCTGATTCAATAAGTCTAGTGGGAGACTCAGAAATAGAATTCTTTTCTCCAATGGTATTGACATAAGTGGTCCTAAGATTTGACTTTGGGAATACTGGGAACTAGCCTCCCAGATCTCCAACATTTGCCAGAGGTTTTCCAATTTCAGGGTACATTAGAATACCCTGGGAGTTTAACATAGAGATTCCAGTATTTGCCATTAGTGTGAGGCAATAGTTTTACAATGAGACCCTGTAATTGGCATTATACTCAAATTCAGCAGTAGATGCTGGTGAAGAAGTTTTCTCTAATAATATTTTCAAGAAACTGTAAGTTGAGTAGTCTCAAAGGCCCTTTCTGTTTTAGTGCTATCTACATTTTTCAAAGTAGAAAATATTTAGCTGGAAAAGCAGCCCTTGAAGTGAATGATATGTAGATTGTTTTCTTCCAAGGTTCTGTCTGAAAAGCCAAGGCAACCCTAAACAGTGGGCTGGTGCAGGACTTGTTTGGGCGTGTGACACTCAGTTGGCTTAGAGGCAAGAGAGAGAGAGAGAG